GAGAGAGAGAGAGAGAGCATGAGAGGGGGAGGGTCAGAGGGAGAAGCAGACTTCCTGCCGAGCAGGGAGCCCCATGCGGGACTCGATCCCGGGACTCCAGGATCATGACCTGAGCCGAAGGCAGTCGCTCAACCAACTGAGCCACCCAGGCGCCCGAGTATATTATTTTTATAGTCAGAAAAAAAATGCCTTAAACATTGTTAGCATATGCACATGACGGGCTTCCAAATGCAGGCATGGTGGCTTAAGCCTTACTGCTCTGAAAGTGTGCTACCTGAACCAGCAACCTTGGCATCGCCTAGGAGTTGGCCGGAAATGCAGATTCTCAGGCCCTGCCCCAGATCTGCTGCTATGGGTTGACTTGTGCACCCCCTAAAATTCGTATGTTGAAGTCCTAACCCCGGGTACCTCAAAATGGGACCTTATTTGGAAATGGAGGCATTGCAGATCACATCAGTAGAGATGAGGTCATGAGGGTGGGCCCCAATCCAAGATGACTGGTGTCTTCATAAAAAGGGGGAATTTGGACACAGACATGCACACCGGGGAACGCCATGTGAAGACCAAGGCAGAGACGGGGTGCTGTTTCTACAAATCAAGGAACACCCAAGATTACCTGCAAGCCATGAGAAGCCGGGGAGAAGCCTGCACCGGATTCTCCCTCACAGCCCCCAGAAGGAAGCAACCCTACCAACATCTTGATCTCAAACTTTGAGTCTCCAGAATGGTGAGACAATAGATTTCTGTTTAAACCACTCAGTCTGTGGTTCTTTGTCACAGCAGTCCTAGCAAACGAATACATTTTCTGAACATAATTGGTGCTTTAACAATTCCACCAGGTAACCATTTGCATATTAACGTGTGAGAAACACTGGTAAGGACAAACATCTTCATCTTTGCTTTATATTGTAAAATAAGAGTGGGAGGAAGGAAGGAGAGAGGGAAGGAGGAAGGGAGGGAGAAAGGAGGAAAGCAGGAAGACCCTAAAAGCAGAAAAGAGATTAGATGCATCACTTAGAATGGTGTTTTGGGAGAAAAATTAACTTTTGCTGTGGACTGTAAACCTTGCTATTATGTTTGCAGACCCATTGGTTAAAGATTAATTACTTGTTTTATATTAATTTGGTTCCTGAAGCCCAGCTTCAAGGGGGGGAAGTGCGGACATAAGTTGCATGGTAACTTCAAATAAAATCACCCTTGTGAACCCTTTCTGGCAAAGGATTTCCAAATTAAGTCCAATGTGGAAAAACTGTTGGCAATTGAAATTCAAGTAAAAATTTCTTCCAAAGTACACATGCATGTTTTTTATGAGGAGAAATAAACATGTTTTAACATCTCTCAAAACTATCTTTTCTATCTGAATTCTGTCGTCCTTTCTGCCATGGCCTAATGGTTAGCAGATAAGGAAAGCTGGTTTCAGCTCCTCCATGAAAGGATCTGACCCCATGTTGATACTAGAGAACAGAGCAGGAAGGGCACCAGGTGAGGGAGGATACAGCTGGGAGGCAGACTTCAAAACGTTCCTGTTCTATCCCTTCTTCTTTTTTTTCTCCAGATATTAAACATTTCTAATACAAGTTCTACTCTGTGGGAAAATACTGCTTAAAAGAGCCTGGAGGTGTTAAAATTGAGAAGTTCAGTACTTTTAAAAATTACAGCTAAAGGGCGCCTGGGTGGCTCAGTTGGTTAAGCGACTGCCTTCAGCTCAGGTCATGATCCTGGAGTCCCAGGATCGAGTTCTGCACTGGGCTCCCTGCTCAGCAGGGGGTCTGCGTCTCCCTCTGACGCTCCCCCTCTCATGCTCTCTCTATCTCATTCTCTCTCTCAAATAAATAAAATCTTTAAAAAAAAATTACAGCTAAAGATTTTACAATCCTTGGATCATGTATTAGGAAAGGCTATTGTGAATGGGTATAAGGATGTATCCTATCATCTTTATATGCTTTAAAAATTTTTTTAGTTTTTCAAGTTGATAATACTTCAGAGGATTCCAAATTCAAAAAGGTACAAAGGAATATGTAAGGAAAAGTCCTCCCTCTAATTCTGACTTCCAGTCACCCAGGAAGCAACTGATATCACCAATTTCCTAGGGGAGCAAGGGCTAGGGGACTAAATGGAAGAAATCCACCCCCACAACCCCCAGTGGTTCACCTGGTCACTCCACCATGTCACCGCCACGTGAAGGCTGTAGTCGCAGCAGACTTTGGGGTCAGCCCAGCTTCGCCAGGTCTCGAAGGCCTGGAGGAGGGAAGCGCCTTTCTGAGGAATGGCAAAATCAATGATCATGGTGGTGCCTCCTGCCAGGGCAGCCTGGAATCACAAGAGGGTTTCAACAGGTTAGCCGTCAAGTTTCTAGCTGAGTCATTTTTCTCCTTGAATGCTAGGCACTGGCAAGCCCTTGGGCAAGCTTGAGGGGTCCAGGAAATTGTGCAACAATGCTGCTTGTTCAAAAGACCCAGAGGGACACGGGGCGCCTGGGTGGTTCAGTCAGTTAAGCGTCTGCCTTCAGCTCAGGTCATGATCTCAGGGTCCTGGGATCGAGTCCCCCCGCCCCCCAGTTCCTGCATTCATTCTCTCTCTCTCTTACTCACAAATAAATAAAATCTTTAAAAATAAATAAATAAAGACCCAGAGGGACATGAATAGACTTTCCATAAATTAAAGTTGGAAGTACTGAAATTGCTGGAATTGTTTTGAAAAATGACATGTCTGATGAAAAGAAAATGGCTTTGGCCCAAACAAAATTCTCGGACTGCAAGGAAAAACTGACATGAAAACATGGAGAAGAACGCAAAACTTTTTCTTCTCCAGAAAACTAGACTCATTATTGTGAAATCTCATTTCATGAGAATCAGTCTCGGTGAATTCTATCTCCAAACTGCCCATGCTGCATGCCGAATCCCCAGAGACTCACATGGTACCTGCTTCACCTTCATTCCCCACAACCAACTGTCTTTCCTTAACTCCCAGCTGGCCCCTCTAATCCATCCCCACTGCTCTGGTCTTAGTTCAACCTCTTGTCATTCTTCCCCTTGATCGTAGTGTCTCAGGTTTTGCTTCCACTCCCTCCAATACAAACTCCTCGGGGCAAGTAGAAAGAAGCACATTCCGAAGCACAAAGGTTAAAACTGAATGCTTTTCACCGCCTCTGGAATGAAGTTGAGTCTTTGTAACAAGGTCTACAAGGCCCCACATGATCTGGCTCAACTCATATTTTCCTTGGTATATTATAGTATATTATGTTAACTCATGATTAATTTAAAAAGTAAGTTAAGTAAGTTGCTTAATTAAGTGTCTTTGATGAACTACTGAAATTGATTTTACTTAAACTATCATCATGAGGTGGTTCATGTGCTTTTAACTGTTGTGGTCAAACAAGGTAGGTGAGGAAAACAAAGGAGCAGAGAGGGATGCTCATGCAGTCATTAAGGGCATTGACCACGGAGGCTGACTGACTCCAGGGCTGGAAGCTCAGATTCAGTGCTTACCAGCTGGGAATCCACCAGCCCCTCTCCCAGGTCCCTCTGCCTGCACCCCCATCACCCCCCCTGCAAAGCCTCCCTGGTTTACAAGCTCTATTCTTGCTTACTTCAATAGATTTTTTATTTTTCCTAAGTCACTTGGCCCTACTCCAATTCTTTTTGCTCTCAAAAAATCTCACTTTTTGTACAGGATCCTATACTTCGTTTCTACCTTTAGATAACATTGCCTTATTCATGGCAAACAATACCTATTTGCATTTCTTAAGAAATCCCTATTGGTTCATTAAAGTAATGACAATACTAGAAAAAAAATCCTCAGGTTCTGTATTTTTATTTGAATGCAGATTAATCTTCTCGCCTTTTTCCTTCTTAAAGTGTTTTCCCAGTGCATCGCAGACATCCCTTGAGGACAAAGGGCATTTTTCTAAAAGCAAGTGCTGTTAATTAAAGTGTTAGAAGAAAGTACTTTTTTAGTGTCTATTGAACTATAAAATCAAGCTTAAAGAACTATTCTTTCCATTCTTTCCGTATTAAGTCTTCCACATTCAGGATGTGGGCAAATCAGATACACTGCTGATGGAACTACAAGAAGATGGCGCAGCCACTTTGGAAAGCAGTTTTTCAGAAAGTTAAACCTGGAGTTACCCTATGAGCCAGCAAGTCCAATCCTAGGCATTTATCCCAGGGAAATGAAAACCTGTCCACACAAAAACCTGTCCACAAATATTCAGTGCAGCATTATTCATAACAGTCCCAAAGTGGAAACTACCCAAATGTCCATGAACTGATGAACGGATAACAAAATGAGGTAGAGGAACGCTATGGAATCTTATTCGACCATAAGGAGGAAGCACTGGCACATGTGTGGATGAACCTTGAACACGTTACGCTAAGTGAAAGAAGCCAGTCACAGAGGATCACATACTCTCTGATTCCACTTGTACGAAATATCCAGAAGAGGCAAATCCACAGAGACAGTAAGTAGGGTAGTGGCTGCCTTGGGCTGGAGGGGTTGAGTCAAGGTGATAGCTAAGGGGCACCTAGTTTCTTTTTGGAGAGATAAAATGTTTTAACACTGATTTTGGTGATGGTTGCCCAATTCCAGGAATATACTAAAAACCACTATTAAGGTATACCTTAAACGGCTGAAGTTAAGTTATCTCACCAGATCTGCAGCAGGGAATATTATTAGCCCCATTTTAGGGTTGAGGAAACCCAACAGAGCACTCTTAAATTTAACTTGAAAAAGGTGGGACTGGAACCATGTCATCAGGCTCCAGAGCCTGTGCTTTGAGGAACAGCCAACAGCATGGAGTCACTCTGAGGAAGGGCCCATGAGGAAAAGCCGGCAGCTCGGCAGAAAGTGGTAAAGGGCAGAATTGAATTAAGACCTAGACTAGGGTTAATTCAAAGCATTGGTTCCAACAAGAGGAAGGCTGTGCTATCAGTCTGGGCAACAGGGCTCTGAGCAGATTCTCACTGGGATGACTGATCAGGTGACAGATGAGGAGACAGAGGAGGGAGGCAGCTCTGGCATGGAGGGGGAGCATGAGTGTGGTGTGGAACATCCTGAGAGTGAGGGGCCTGGGCACATGTCCACTCTGTGTATTTGCACACAGAGAGAAATGCAGACCTGACCCTGAGGAGCAAGCAAGGGCAGGAGAAGGTTGTGGCAGTCGCCTTGGAGAGGATGCCAGAGGGGTCCTGAGGGTGGCCGAAATGACCCCAGGACAGAGAAGGGAGACATGATAATATAAATCACAATGCATGCTCCAGAACATTCCAACACTTAGCAGGAAAGCAACAGTATCGAGCCAAAACAACCATTTACAGTGGCTGTTTCTGGGTGGCGTGATGGCAGGTTGCTTCAATTTCCCTCTAGTTAAATTTTATTTTTAATATTTGCTAACTTTTCTATAACAAAGCACAAGTTTTTCAAGAAGAAAAAATGGCTTTACAGATAGATGATCAACATGCATGCATATGCTATGTAAATAAAGTAGAGACTGTTGCTGATGCAGATGTGATGGTCAAAAGGGCCATTTTCTAAAATGACAGCAGATCGAAATTCCTGGGGCTTCAATTTGCAAGCTCCCAAATCAGGATTTATCACACCTGCTCCACCTCCCTAGTTCCCCGGGAGCAGGAAAGGGAGAGGAGAACTGCCATGCACCTCTCCTTTGTTTCTTCTTGTTCTGTTTCTCCTCCATGCCCTTCCTCCCTCTCCTCCCCTCAACACGGGAACACATTTTGAGAAGCTCTACTGAATGGGAGGGGGTGTGGGCAGATGTATGGAAAACAAATCAGGGCGGCATGAGCCACTCACCGCAGGGGGCCCCTGCTGCCACCCTGGGTCCTGGCGATCAGCTGCAGCCACGGTCTGCGCCCCAGCCTCCTCTGAACCTCCCTCTTCCCCCTCCTCTCCTGGTGTCTCTGGTTACCCAGGGTCCTTTCACCGCCCAAGGTTACCTCAAACCCCCGAATATTATTTCAGTATTATTTCCTTCCACAGGATCCAGGCAGCCACAGGCTAGAGCGGCGGTTCTGTAATCCCAAATAGGGTGTTAAGGAGACGTGTTCCTCCCAGGAGGTACTGACCTCTTCAGAGAAGAGCTTGTAAATGCCCAGGCCTGGGTTAAGCATCCTATACACACTAGATCATTTAATTAAGCCTCGCGGTCTGGAAAGGTAGGAATGGTTTTCACTTTACAGTTGGGGATGTTGAGGCTCAGAGATGTCGAATGACTCCCCAAGGTTACATGGAGGAGCATACAACTCTGAGGGGTAAGTCTTACTTTCAGCCTACCCTGGGCCTCAATCCTATGCAAGCCATTTTCCCTCAGCCCCTCTTCCATGTCCTGGGATCTGATTTCCAGCCAGTTGTCCCAGGTCATCGGTGAATCATTCCTTTGAGAAATGCAGAGGTTGATAAAGTGAATCAAGCACTTAGGAAACCAAATGCCTTACAAAACAAAACAAATGCCATCAGACTGTGAACTGGAAAGCCACAAATGAAACGCAGTTTTATATGGCTCAGCTGATGTTCATCACTGTGACAATCACTACTGAAATAAATGTGTCCCTAGAAAATTAATAAGGAAGGGCTCTCTATAGTCGTGCTCCTTCATCTTCATGCATCTACGGGCCCTGGAAGAATCTCCTTTATTCAGCAAACCAGCTGGTCAGAACATCACCTTCCTAGCCCACCTCAAATATTTTCAGGATCTGTCTGTTTTTTATCATCAGATCCTTTTAGGTTCACTTCACAAATGTTCTTCAGGGTTTACCCAACATTTGAGGAATGAAAAGAGTTAGGGAGGGGAGGGAGAACCAGTAAAGGGTGAAAATTTCTCTCGTTTTTCTGGGTGAACCTGAATTGTTTCCTTTGTTTTTACTGCTGATTGACTTCACTCCACTTTTATTTGTCAGATAGCCAAACAAAATGTATTTACCTTATCTAATCTTGGCTCATAAATCAATTCTTTCAGCTCCTAATTACTTCGGCTGTTCTCCCTTGAAAACCTTCCAATTTATCTAAAGCCTTCTTTTTGGGGAGGAGAGCAGGTGCTGTATCAGGTGCAAATGTGTTAGGACATACATTGAGATAAACTCCAACCAACAGCAGGGCCACAATATTATATAACACAAGATTCTATTTAAGAATGTATTAGGCGGTAAATCGTTATTGAAAGCATCCCAAGCAACGTCTTCCTTTTGACGGGATCACCAAATTTTCATTTCTAAGCTCATCCTGGAACAAGTGACTTTGTCTCATTAAAATCAATCATAGGACCTGATCAATCAACCCAAGTAAAGCAGAAAGAAATC